GGGTTTAATGGACCTCGGATTCGGATTCAGCGACCCCAAAAACATATAATAAACATGGTCTGATCCCCAGGCCAAAGAAATTTTTTTTTTGTGTGGCTGTGAAATTAACATGTGAAATAATTAACATAAAAAGTATAAAATAAAATATTTTTATATTTTGAATACAATAAACGTTTTGTAAGTTCAAATTTTCTAATAATTAGAAAATTGTAGTTCTCATAATTATAAAAAAATAATATAATGCAAGAAAATATTTGAAGACATGATGCAACAAACACAACTAAAAACGACATAATGCAACAAAAACATTTGAAACTGACATAATGCAAAAACATTTGAGAAAACAACATAATGACAAAAAAAACTTTTAAGAAAATGATGCACTTCTATCACTTTTTTCCACTTTTTCCTTTATTGAAATTTAGAAAATAAAAAAACATTTTTTTAAATTATTTAATAATAATTGTATAATAATAATTTAACGTCTTATCTGTACTTGGTTTGATGTTTTTTGCATTATTTTCATCATTGAATGATGAATTTGAATCAATGTCACTATTTATGTTAGACACCGTGCTATACTGTTGTTAAAAACAATGTTCAATAACATATTTTAATATGTAATTCATATAAGTACAGTCGGCGTCAATGAATCGTTTTGTAGACGCGGGGAGCTAGGGGTAAAAGGGACGGTATTCCCTAGCAGTAAATACTGTAATTGGTCAATTTATCAAAATCTGCTACAGTTAGTTAGTGCGGCGCCCGTTGGCAGTACTTTGAAACGATGCAAATCGTTACGGCTGGGACCGACCATCCATCCCGGCTCAAAAACGGCGCATACCGCCAAATAAACTCTATAAAATTGCAGCGTATGAAATACACGCTGCCGGCACAGTATAGGTAAGAACAGTAGGTTCACTCAACGTCGGCACTTTTGATCGTCATACCTAAAAGGTCGCCATATTGTTGGTTGTGCGCGGGCTCTAATTTGAAAGAAAGTTGATACTATCCACAAGAGATACTTCTAATAATGATATTATTAAATAGTATAAAAAGATGTTATTAAATATTTTAATTTGCTTTTAATTAAAATAAAATTTTATTGAAATAAATGTACAAATACTACCATCATCAAAAAATAACCGGAATTTTTAATTTAAACCTCGTGGGCTTATCGGTTTAGAATTCTGTTGTTTGTGTTGTGACCAGGGTTAGGTGTTCGAATGGATGAGACTTACTTTTTCTCGTCCCTTTTCAACGGTCGCCAGGTGTTTTATAGTCATCCACTTCCTCCAAACACCAAGGATTCATCAAAAGCGTGTTTCAGTCCTTTCCCTCTTCTTCAGCCTGAGTACGCCTTTCCAGGACACAGGGAGAACAAAACAACGCTCAACACAAACATAACTTTGTTTTCACCACGTTTATTCTTTATCCATATATATCATATAAACTTTTCACGCTCTTAATACTACTCTTGTTGAATAATAATTAATCCGTGCGCAAAATGAGCCGCGAAGAGCTTGTTTGTTTTGCCTATACATCCGCACTTGGCGAGAGCTCTCTATCGACTGACTGCTCTGCCGCCTCTCCTGACCGCGCAGCTCCGCCTCCCCAATCCTCTTATTCTAAGGGCGCGAATAAGGGTAAGTATGTGTGTTGTGTGAATGTTTGTGTATGTGTGGTATGAATGGTGTATGTTTTTCTGCTTAATCATGTGTTAGTGTATACATGTAGTACGAGTCGAATGAATGAGTTAACATGTAAAATTAGTATGGCTGAGCCAAGTGTGACCTCCTAACTTGGACAACGTATGTGTGAACCCTTAGTTGATTGTGTGTGTGTGCGTTTTGAATGACTATGTATGTACGAGTTAACAACTGGTAATAGTGTAGTTGGAGTGTGTGTGGTCCTCTGGTGTGCGCGTATTGTGTAAGAGTGTTTATTTTAGTATGTACGTGTGTCTCTTGACTGACCTTATGTATGTGACTTAATGACTGACTTTAGTGTGGATGCGATGTGTATGATCCTCTGACGTGTTTGGTATATATGTATGGCTTTATGCGTGTATTTGTATATAACCTTATGTATGTGACTTAATGATTGTTTTTAGTGTGGATGGTATGTGTATGACCTTCTGATGTGTACAGTATATATGTATGGCCTTATGCGTGTATGTGTATATGACCTTCGAGTGACTGTAAAGTGTGAATTAAGGTGTTTGTTCGTGTGTGTATATTGTTGGCTTAAATCTTGACTGAACGTTGTGCGTTTGAGTTACTATTCACTTGTTTTTGTCTATGGTGCTTATTTCCTTGTTTATGTTATTTAGCGCACAATATTGTGGGTGTATGTTTTACAGGAGTGTAAGGTGTGATTGGTGTGTGTTTGACTGTTTATTTGTT